GATAAAAATGTGCACGCACAATTTAGCGATGCCCTTGTTTATTCCGTCAGAATGCCATTGAACTAGATCTTGCGTATAAAATAATACATATGTACTTTCATGACCATTTTCAACAACTTTGCTGTGAATCTTAGTATGACACATATTTTCTTCTAATGAATAGCCCAAGTTTTTAACAAACGAGTATACAAGACGATCGAAAACTAATGAATAAAGAGTAAGATGTGCTGATTGTATTGGGCTGCGTACGGAGGTTTCAACTCTCTTATTGATTAGAATAATATAGGTATATTTAGCATGAAATAATGGAATTTAACCACTCCGACCCACTCTGTTCAATTTGAGCAATATTTCACCCATCTTGTTTCGTTTTTCGTCCGTTTTAAAACAGACGTAGCTAAACCTAAGGGTTATTGCTTAGGCATTTATCTGGTCAAATATGATGACCACATCTGTTGTTCCATGCCATGAGAGGTTAGTCTCATAATCTGTTTAGTGCTTCTTTCCTGCAGAAAAAGGCGTATAGTACAGTAACTCCGTCTGGTTCCTGGTTGGTGAATAAACTACTTTTGAACCATTTCGAGTACTCGAGGTCAAGTAACCGAGTAAGACAGGTAGCTTTAACCCCCTAGCTGCCTACCCCTCCCCCCTCCGACTAAGTTAAAAAACCTTATATTATGTCTGACACTCAGGAAACAATTGTTCATCTGAAAAACGTGCGAAATTTGAATTTACCTCGAATTGTAAGTCTGAGCTTCGCGTGAACTCATTTTTTCATAGGTTACTCTGAATTTTGCGCCTCTCTAATTTGGCAATTCGTACGTAGAAAGCGAGAGTCGGCCGTGTAAATCACACACCACGTCGGAAACAATTACACAAGCGGCTCAAAACACGGCTTCCTTTCGTCCTGTTTGACTTCGGCGCGGCGTTGCCGGACGGTGACGCGAAATCCGGGAAACCGCCGCGAGCTCGCCGGAAATTCCGCCGAGATCAAACAACCGCGTTTCCGGTTTCAGGAAACTCGCCTGACTCCTTCACGATGGCTTAACTTTCTCTTCTGCTCCATAAATTACGAAGTTGTCGGGACGAAGGACGCTTTTCGCTTGCGCAGCGTCGCGGAGGGTGGGGCGGGGGCGGTGGGAGGGGGAGAAAACCGAATGTGGAGAGCCCGCGACCAAAGTTCCGGGTGTCAAGACGCGTTCATTTGTTTACAACGCAACTTGAGCCTATAACGGGACTTTAAAGTTGTTCCGCAGGAAAAATCGCCCCGACAGTAGACGTGGCCTCAGAAACTCCCTGTAGAAAGATGAGAACTTTACGGCAATATTGCATCGGAAGTTGGTATGAGAAATTGGTTCAATAAACTGTCGATCGCGGAGGAATTTATCTGACTGCAGATCCGCGGTAAAAATTGTGGGAAAATCAAGACATAAATTGTTGGGTTTTTTTGGAGGGAATCCTAAGAATATTCTATATTGGGTCATAATTATCACAAAATTAGGCTTTTTGAGCACTTCCATAGCAACCGCTCGTTATATTTACCACAACCTTTTGACTTCTCTTTAAAGTGTTCTTCAATACACCAGTCCTCATTGAGGAAACAGTTAGTCAGTTGTTTGGTTCATACTCATAGACATGCAGCATCCTAGGCTATTAAAGTCTTTACACAAAATTTGGAGGCTGAGTGTATATACAAAAATTTAAATTTTTAAATGAAGAGAGGCAAAGAGTTTCAGTTCCCCTCAATTGGGCTTTTATATATCTCTCCTAATTCTTACCAGAAATTAATAAGAACTAGACAAGGATTAATAGCATTAATAACAGAAACAGATCCTGATTTTGGTTTGCTTGATTCAATCACGCCATCAAAATTTCCATTTAAAACGGTAAAATGGGTATCATGATTCCTTATCCTTGTTGGTGGAGTGAAGTATGTATATGCATGAGTATCGCAGATATCAACTGGAATTTATAAATTTTTCTGGTAGAAATTTTTCGGACATACCTAAATTTGGAGCGATCTCTAATCAAATCACAATCCGCTCTGCTGCCAATGATGACTCAAGTAGCCAGTGAGGCACCACCGATAAACGGAACCAACACAATATGAAAATAGAGCAAGGGAAAAGACGCGCTGAGATGACGGCGCAGAGATACAACTATTCGTACTCGATGGATGTCCGTGTTGCATCCGCAAAATTGAAGGCGCTCTGGCACGAGGCGTGCTCTCATACCCACGATCCTCCACTTATGCTGCTACTGAGGGAGAAAAGTTGAAATGAGACTGATTTCTAGGGGTATTCGTCAAAAAAACTTCTTTGACACTAGGGTCTCCCTTTTTTTAAAATTTGATGTCTGATTTTTCTTTTAAGATGTATTTGTAGACCAATGTCTGAAGCTACAACCACAACCCATTTTCACGTTAATATCACTCATGGAACACATGTTTTCACTGAGGATTGGGTCAATTTTTGAGTATTTAAGGGTCAATGCAATTCTTGAGCTTAAAATAAAGTAACATAATCTAGCTACTGCGACTCATGCTGATTTAATCACATTGCAAATGGCTACCGTAAAAATCTAGTAAAGATCGGTCATATATATTAAACAGATTTTTACAAGCGCCTGAATTTGCTTCAGTTTCTTTTTGACGTGTAGTCCAGGCGCCTGGCAAGTCTACCTGGAATTTTGGGTACACAGCGATTTTTTTGGCTTACTTTATGTTTTTTGGGTCGCTGAATCCGAATCTAAAGTTTCTTATCGCGTGTCTGGAGAGCATTTTCCGCCATTTTGAAAAAATGGCCTTAAAAGGCCTTTTTTGCGGTTTTTTTTTTATATAGCGGGTACGCATGAGAAAAAGTCCCGGATTTAGTTAATGTGTTGAATAGCTGACATAATTTGAAAGAAAATGGTGTACACATATGCTAGGTTTGCTTAAAAATTGAGGAAGATACAGCATCGTGAACATCGCGCTTACTCACGTTTTCGCAACGCACCCGTCAACGCGCGGTCCGGCTCGCCGCGGTCCGCCAAGTTCCGAAGCGTTCCAAAATTCCGAGTTTTGAAGTTCCTCACTTTTTGAGCAAACCTAGCATATTTATATACCATTTTCTTTCAAATTACGCCAGCTATTCGAAACATTAACTAAATCTGGGACTTTTTCTCATGCGTAGCCGCTATATCAAAAAAACCGCAAAAAAGGCCTTTTTAGGTCATTTTTTCAAAATGGCGGAAAATGCTCACCCGATACGCGGTAGGAAACTGCATATTCGGATTTAAGGACCCAAAAAACCTATAGTAAGCCAAAAAAAATCGCTGTGTACCCGAAATTCCAGGTAGCCTCATTTTTGGCTACCACGCGCCTGTCCTATTTGACATTTTTGCAGTTGTGAATGCATAGCTGAAGTGCGCTCTAGCTAGAATTGTATTTAGCAAATGGATGGTTTTTATACGAGGATTAAAACAAACGAGTGGTTAGAAATGAAAAGAAAATAATATGTACTATACAATACGATAATCCGGGTATCGGAGATTGGCTGTTTTGAAAACGCCTTCAAATGCGGCGTGATACTTCGCGCATTCCGGAGAGTTCAAATAGTTGTATCATTGCGCCTTAGGAATGCGACGGAAGATCAAAATTGAAATCGCCTTCATGCACGCTGGCCTCGTCAATTTCCTTTTAGTCCAGGCGCCTGGTAAGTCTACCTGGAATTTTGGGTACACAGCGATTTTTTTGGCTTACTTTATGTTTTTTGGGTCGCTGAATCTGAATCTGAAGTTTTCTACTGCGTATCTGGTGAGCATTTTCCGCCATTTTGAAAAAATGGCCTTAAAAGGCCTTTTTTGCGGGTTTTTTTTATATAGCAGTTACGCATGAGAAAAAGTCCCGGATTTAGTTAATGTTTTGAATAGCTGACATAATTTGGAAGAAAATGGTGTATACATATGCCACTACTAATGGTGTATATATGCTGTGTACCCGAAATTCCAGGTAGCCTCATTTTTAGCTACCACGCGCCTGGCCTAGTGTTTAGATATGGTTTTGAAACCGAAAGATAGAGTGAGGGAGAAGAGAAGAGGTAGTGATGATTTGACCATTTTCATGGTGAATATAGATGGTATTAAAAAATTGAATTAGGCACAAATGCAGTATGCATTTAAGTCCTCACCTATTCAAGCAAATAAAATTGTATATTTTGCGACAATGTGAAATAATTACACATATGGCCTTTGGCTTAAGCCATCGAAAATATTATTGCATTTCACTCCATAAAATTGATGTAAATTTGATATCTGGACTCAGAATATTTGTAGGATCGGTCATTTCAGTTTTTAATCCACCACGTAAAAAAACGGCTGAAAAGTTTTTTCAACGTATACAATGTATAAAAATAACTTTTAACATTTTGTTTAAAACTCATGAGCCCTGGCTTTCGTTAATTACGTATGATGCCAGGCTCATGAGTTTTTTTGACTTGCTTATTTCTAATCATGCGTCGATTCAATTAATTATGGTTCATGAGAAATTTATGCCAATTTTTAAGACACAGTATTACTCTGCACGTATGTCGGGTTGTGACGTTGCAGACTTTCTGTTATATGATGATGAAAAACTACCCAACGTCAATTCTTGAAAACTTCCTTGATTTTCCCTGTCTTAGCAAAATATTTTGTGAAAACTTCAAGGAATGATTTTAATTTGTTCTCCCTAAAAAAAAAATAAAATGGGAGCGGAGATTTCTAAACACCGCAAACAAGATACGTGTGGTCAGGGGCGTAGCTAGGAAATTTCTCTGGGGAGGGCCATGGGACCTCCTCTCGTGGTAAAGAGAGCGGGGGGGGGGGGG